TCCCAGGCCCAGGCCAGGGGACAGTGGCCCGCCCGCCGCGGCCCTGCAGAGCACACCCCCTTCCTGGGTTCCGCATTCCTCTGTGCTCCCCCGTCACTGGTCACTGGTCTCCTCCTGGGCCTCCAAGGCCAGTGGCCCGAGGCGCTCTCTCCAACGCGGCAGACTGTGGTGTCCAAGGCACAGTGTCTCCTCTTGTCCGTGGCCATGCTCCCCTCCGTCCTCTCACCAGACGCATGTGATGTCACTTGGAAGTCTCCGGGGCTGGAGATCCTTGGCCTCCTCACTCCCTCAGTTGTGTTGGCAGGCAGGTGGCAGCCTACAGTGACATGGGAGTGCTAGTTGGTAGTGATCTCACCTTCTCCCTTTTCATCGCTGAGTTGTTTCATTTCCCAGTGTCTCTGGGGGTCGCGTTGCCAGGATCTGTTTTCTACCATGTCTTTCTGGTGACATGGCCCTGGATAGAGGAAGCAGGGAATCAAGTGTTGGGCACAGGGTCCCCCAGCACTGCCTTCTGTGACAGGTATGGCAGGCTTGTGTCCCTGACCCACCTGGGGGAGAAGGTGGAGTGGGAGCAAGGGAGGGGGTAAAAGGGACCCTCCTCTCCCGTCCCAGGTAGATGCACTCTGCTGTCCTGGGCTCTGGCAGAGGGACCAGAGGCCCCTGTGAGGCAGCAGGGGCAGTCTCCACAGAGGAGGCCTGGGGAGGTGCCCGACCCTCCTGGGCCGCATCCCAGCATTTCTGGCCTTTGAAAACCCCGGTGGCTTGCTCAGGAGGCGGATTTTAACCCTGGTGGCCCAAACCACAAATTCCAACGACTTAATTACATTCTGCCTGGAGTGTCCTTCCAGGCCTGGCTCACGGTGGTCTTCATTTCCTACCCAGCTGACCTGCAGTGGTGCTGCTGTTATTGTTCAGCATTCCTGAGAGCAGACAGATGCGCTGTTTGAAACAGGAATATATATTTCCTATTGAATGAGCTAATCACCACAAATCTGGTTGCCATATTCCATCTCTAAAGTGGAATAAAAGAAAAGCATTAGAGGAGACATAAAGAAGGAAACAACAGTGAAAGAAAATACCAGACAAAGCATCTGTCCTGGTTACAACCAGCAGCTGAGGTGCAGGGAAGGCCGCTCTGTGACTCTGGGTCTGGCGGATGCGGATGCGCTCATCTGAGCAAAAACAATCAAACACTTGTGCTGGCGTGGCAGACGAGGGTCATTGTTTTTCTAATGAAATGACTTAAATTTGTTTGAAGAGAGGATCAAGGAGGGG